TAGAAAACCAGCTTAGGCGTTCAAATGAATCTGGACGAACACAAAAACTGTGGATTCAGTTCATAGAAATGGTTGAAATCGTTCGAATGTTTATAAGAGCAGAGAGGAGTGGGGACTTTCTCCTTCACCTTCATTGTGTACATCAAATGCTTCCCATTTTCCATGCATCTGGTCACTTTAACTACGCTAAATCTGCACACGTTTACCTACAAGACTCGCTGGAACTTCTCAACACATTGCACCAAGAAAACGATTTATTTGTTAATTGTGGTTATTTCACCATCCGACGAACTGAAAAGTTTTGGTCTGGAGTATGGAGTGATATGACCATAGAACAGGTTTTGATGAGGTCCTTAAAAAGCATTGGTGGATTGACTGGAGGTAGAGGAATCACAGCGACAACTATTGCCACTTGGATCAATTCCATGCCGACTTGTTCTCGGGTGTGCGAAGCAATGGAAGAGTTTGCAGGTGTTCGCAGCCTCTCTTCAGAGCAGCACGTGGAGCTACGAGATGCAAGGCAAAAAAGAAACAGTAAGGACTTGCAAACTTTCATTTCTTGGATTGAAGAACATAATCCGTTCTCTAAATCACCTGAACTCTCTTCCTTGTCAACAGGGGTTGTAGGTGATGAAACTGTAAACTGCGATAAAGCATTTGAAATAGGAGCCATATCCATCAAAGCAATTGAAAACAAAACATTTAAAGAAATACACATGAAAAGAAAGTTTGCTGTCAAATCTCTAGCCTCTATAACGAAGTCGGTGAAAATTAACAACGACATGGTATGTGTAAATCCTAACACTCTCTTACATCGGATGGTGTGTACAGTAAGGAGTGATAAGAGATTAGAGGAAATTTTTCAGTTCGAACTCTGTGCATATCCTCCATCACTGTTTGACGAATCTGGCTTGATGAGGAAGGGGAAAAAATCATCAATGGTGACGGTTTTGGTTTCAGATTCAAAAGAATCATCAAACATCGATGACCCAGTGAAAGTGTCCTATATAATTGACGGAGGCCACCTCCTACATCGTGTTGTCTGGCAACAGCCTGCTACATTTAAACAGATTTGCAAGCAATATAGTGATTACGTATGTACTCATTATGGAAAAGCGACTGTTGTTTTCGATGGTTACGAACGAAGTAACACAAAAGATCAAGAACACCTACGAAGATCACGTTCCAACATTGTGGTCAAAGTAGAAGACTCCATCCATGTCAACATAAATCAAAATGAATTTTTAGCTAGTGCTAAAAACAAGATGGGTCTAATAACCCTCCTATCATCGCACTTGCAACAATGTGGTTGCACAGTTCTTCAAGCATCGGGTGATGCTGACCTATTAGTAGTCTTAACAGCTATTGATGAAGCGAAGAAAGATGTTCAAACGTGTGTTATTGGTGATGACACGGACTTATTAGTACTGTTGACTGTCCACGCACCTTCAGGGAATAAACTGAAAATGGTCGTACCTAAAAAAGGAAATCACCAGGAAAAAGTGTACATTATTTCTGACATTCAGCAAGGCATTGGGGATATGAAAGATGTACTTCTGGTTACATACGCCTTTACAGGATGTGACACTGTGTCTGCTGTCTATAAGAAGGGAAAAATTGCACCTTATAGGAAAGTTCAAGCCAACAGCGTTCTTCGTGAAAAACTTCTGGTCTTCAACAACCCCAAAGCCGACCCCAGTGCAGTGGCTGATGCAGGAAATTACTTCCTACTTGCAATGTTTGGATCCAAGAACACTGAAGATCTAGATTGTCTCCGCTACCAGTCCTACTTGAAAGCGATTGCAAAGCAGCCTATACATGCATTACTGAAGTTGGATGCACTACCCCCCACTTCAGGAGCGTCCAGACAGCATTCATTCAGGACCTACCACCAGGTACAACAGTGGCTGAATGAAGATAAGGATCCACTCGAGTGGGGTTGGAAGAAGATTGGCGACCACCTGACACCAATTACAACAGCACGTCCTGCAGCCCCCCAGGAATTACTGTCCCTCATAATGTGTACTTGCAAAGATGAATGCGTTCGTAATTGTGAATGCAGAAGGAGTGGTCTAAACTGCACTAGCATATGCAGCAATTGCTCAGGCCAAGCATGTGATAACATGGACAATAATGACATCTTAGACGACGAGCTAGAGGAGGAGGATAATGTGCTGGGGGATGAGTGAAGTTAATAAACACATTGAACATTCCAAATTTGAAAGATATTCATGCTTAAGAAGTGAATATATATAATATATGTTGCAATGTTCGTAGAAAGTTCAGGGTGGGTTTCTCCGTACCACAGGTTTATATGGCCTAGGCCTGTGGAAGCCTCTTTTCCCTTAAAAAAGAGTGCCCCTTGATAAGGTGGTGAGGTTGTCGTTCCTTCAAGGGCTTATCACTAACATACCACCGGCCACTGAAATAGCAACATTCTTTTACGAAGCTTATTTTTTAAAAAAATTATCAAAATTACGAAAAAGTTAACATTTACACCGTCTGTAACTCTTGAACCGTACAATTTAGAGTGATTATGAAAAGGACCATTCTTATTCAAAATTTAACGTAGAACATTTTTGTATATAACAATGTTTAGGATAAACCGCTTAGTTTTTGAATTATTTACGAAAAACTGAAAAAACTAGTGATTTTTCAAATTCCCCCCCCCCCTCACCCCCAAACCCGACGCTCAAAATGGTGTAACTTTCTACCATAGAATAAGGGGACTATGTAGAGCAATTTGGTGTTGAAGGAAAACTTTTACTTTGGATGTTGAGGTTTAGGTCTAATTACACCGTACTATAAGCCGTATTGCCTATCATTGATGATTCCTGAGCTCTCCATATATTTGATAAGCTCAATATTGATGGCTTTCTCCATCACTTTGGAGATTACTGATAACAGGGCAATGGGCCTGTAGTTGTTGGGCAGGTTCTTGTTCCCTTTTTTGGGGATTGGTTGGACTCTAGCTGTCTTCCAGCATGATGGAGAAATACCCGACCTGTACGAGATGGTAAACAACTTGCAGAGAATCGGTGTTAATTCTGGTGCACATTTTTTGCGAAATTCGTCTGATAGTGCGTTGACGGAAGACGATTTCGGGCATTCGACTCTCAACGGGTGGAATGTCTGGCGGCAGTTTTCCTTGGGATTCTGAAGTAAAGTTTGCTGCGAACATCTCTGCAAAAATATTTGCTTCCTCCTGCGATGTTGTAGCTAATGTGCCGTCGGATTTGGACAGTGGTGAAAATGAACTATCAGTGGAATTTCTTCCGACCGCTTTAGCAAGGGAGCCATTGGGGCAATCTATGAGTTTCGATCTTATCTTGGCATTGTATGTTTATTTTGAAGCATCTATTGTTTGGCTGCAGTTATTCCTGGCATCAACGTATTCTGGTCTAGTTGCGAGGTTAGGGTTTTTGCGCCAGCGATGATAGGCTGTTTGGGCGATGGTAGGCTGGTTGAAAACGGATGATGTTACGACATTTTTTCACTGAGCAAACCCAACTTATTTTGCAATGTTCTACCTACCCTAGCAAGAAGGTAAGGTTTTTTTGAAACACCCTATATACCAAATGCTGAAACAATAGTTAGTTATACACCAAGGTAGTAAATAATATCATTATCACCCACGGACCAAGATTATATCCCCAGGCTGCAGCCAAGGGGTATTAGGTCCCGTGGTAATAATATTCTCTAATACCAAGGTGTGTATTACATTTTCTTCACCACTAGCAATACATTTCAATTGTTTTAGTTCTGTGAAATTGAAATATGTACTTATTTTCACTATGAAAGCACTTCTTTCCTATTTTAATTAAAATCTAGTAGCCGCGACCATGACATCATATGACATCAATATCAATAAGACGTTATTGATAAATACCAACTAGATTCGAGCGAATACCGCCATAATTTCAACATGGCTATGTCTTATAATGGAAGGTTTCATAGCTACGGGAGTGAAAAATTATTTATTTGGGTAACTTTCCATACTAGTACCATCGCCAAATCAACAAACATCAGCAAACTCAGTTTTACCTTTATGCAAATACATACGAATTCTTGAGAGTACATGTACGCCAATACACGGTCTCATATCTGAGACAATAATTCCATTCCTCAACCCCCTTTGATTGATGACGTAATAATCAATTTAACCTCCGCATTGCTATGGTTATATACAGTGTGTCCCGCTTATCATGAATACACCCTGATATCTCAGTTATTAATGGTGCGATTCTCTTGAAATCTTTTTAGTGTTTGTATGTTCGAATAAGCAGAATGAACAGTTTCATTTACCATTGGCGTGCGATGTCGAGGGGTGATTGTGTGTTGGAAATATAACATATACAATCACCATCACAATTTCGAGAAAATTAACTGAGATTTTGGGGCGTAGTCATGAAAAGCGAGATTTTGGATTTTTCTTGAAATGTTCAGAATATGAATAAGGGGGATTTTGAGGATGCTGATTCTTAATCTGATGAAAACAGTTATTCAAAATAAGCCCTAAGATTCTTCTTCCAAATAATGGCCTTCTTTGTACCCCTCAACATTGCACGCTAATGGTGAATGAAACTGTTCACTCTGCTAAATACTTCTTTGTTCTAGCATAGAATCACCACTGAAATTTTAAGAGAAAGAGTTAATAACTGAGACATCAGGGTGTATTCATGAAAAGCGGGACACACTGTATACTTTCAATAAGCAACAACACAGTGTGCTGCATATTCTGCTTTCATAGATGGACGTTCATATGTTTTGAATACCTTCCTGTGTTTCAGATGGTATTGAGTAGAAATCTAATTGGCTTATGTCATAGATATCAGAACATAATACGATTTCATAAAGTCAGTAGAATCTCTGATAAATAAGAAAAAAAACAATGTTTGCAGTAATTAGACAATGCTCAATTAAAGAAATACCTGAACATCATATTACTACACAAAACCCTAACAAACATCCAGATATGTGGAAAACAAAACAAATCACCGCTAGATAAAGGAATGTTGATTACTGTAATGATTCCAACCAGGATGATAATATGCTATAGGTATGTGGAGGTAGTATCTATCCATGGCAAAAATATATTAACCATGTTCGTGAAGAAACCTTTCACGCCTTTTTTGCCATTTTTGTTCGCTGTGTTAGTTATCCTGGTGAGTAGACGTGAAATCTTTGAGAAATTACGAGTTTTTCAAGAATGAATTGAAATTCCGGTATAGTACTGGATTTTTAAATCCTGCTATAGGATGTTATAGGATCGATGTGCCGGGATTTCAAACTTGAGTCAAGACTATCACTATTGAACTTGGTTATTATTGAAGGTACAATCGGGTCGATTCTGTTCGGATCTTGTTATAACATTGCTAAGATAATAATATTGTTATGATCATAACATGTAACAATATTGCTATGAAGTTCTGTATTCTATTTGCAGATTAACTGCAAGACTGGTTATAAATTCAAGTGATAGCAACATTGTTGAAAAATTGACAATTTTTGAGCTGACAACACTGTTTTCAACTCATTGTTCAAGTGTTAGGTATCGATTTTCCCATTATTTCATGAAGAAGAAGAGTTTATGATTATCTAACCTCTCAAATTAGTCAGTCCTGCGCTGACATTTTACAAAATTATATTGTTCAAATCGAGAGATTTGGTATTTGCTGAATCTGGTCGTCGTTGTGCGACTGGCGAGTAATCAATCATGTCCCCGAAATAAGAAAACAACTAGCCGAATGAAAATGATCGTGTTTTTTTTTAATATTCTAGCAAAATAGCTTGATATGATATGCCGAAATTGTAGTCTCCTATTTCCTCTACTAATTGGAACTTCAAGAAAAGGTTTTCAAGTAGTTGGTCACAGTAGTGATCCTATCCTATATGTTTGTAATCAACATTTTATGTTTTTCAATAATTCTTCTACGAATTGAAACTTTGAGTAAAGGTTTTCGAGTAGTCAGTGACACAACTGAACTCTCATATGTTTTTAATCCACTATTTTCTGAATTTTCATACAGTTGAAAGAATTTGTAGTGCAAAAACAAAGAATCCACTTCCTTGTCATAAGATAGCAAGCACAAAATTGATGTTGCTGAGAAAGCAAGAAAGCTGACTAGATGTCCTTGAAATCGACAGATCATATTGTCAAAAATCAATGATTAGAATTCTACTTTTTCGAATCTTGCTATGATAGCAATATCTTCTTCACAACCATATTCCTATTTGCAAACAGAATCGACTTGAACGTCAGTCAAATAGACTAACTATTGGTATTTCTTACTCTGATTTCGATGATGAAATCGAAAGGACAATCGTACATCGCGTTCACGAGTTTCAAATTGAACACCCATCAGTGTTCAATATTCTGAATCGATAGGAAATTCGAATCTAAACAAAAAGTGGTCCATAATCTTTCATCCAGAATTCAAAAATCACTGATAAGCTGTCGATGATGTTTCAAATACGTCATAGTGATTGTGTTGAAGTATACCCTCAAACAGCATCAGATATTCCATGAATATTCAAAGAATATTATTTTTGGATATCGGAAATATTCATGAACATGCCAAGGATATACATATCTTCTAGGGAATAATCCCTGAATGTGCTGGTGGGAAAGAATTTATATATTCCTAGAATATTCCCTCCATATTCAGAATGTACTTATAATATTCTAGTGATATTCAGATAATATTCGGAATATTCTTGCTACATAATAATGAAGATAAGCCTATATGGGCTCGAAACATGTACGATGATCTGGTTGAGTGATTCGATCCCTAGCTATTTAAATTGTGGTGATGGCTTTGTGTTCCTGATTCCTGATGGTAACTCACCACTCCCCTTTGAGATACGATGGATTTCTACCTAATTTTTATCATAATAAATTATTGATGCTCGCATCTATAAAATATGAAATAGTGATTGGTGTTTATTATACTATACTGTATTTCATTGTATAACACATGAAAATAATAATTATGGATTCGAATGAACCATTTTGGATTTCGAACCCTCCTCAGTAACCTGAAGTCCAGTTATTCAAACAGCCATTCTTTATGATACACACAATTTCCATCTCTCTATAATATAACTGAAACTATAACGAACTGAATCTGAGACTTATTTGTTGACAGGTAGGTATTGAATGAAATATTCGAGAAAGTCTATTATGTTTCCGGAGCATTGTGACCGTACTGAGAATTGTATCCAACATTGAAATATGAAAAAACATAAAGAGTATTCTATTGCAAATTCTCTAGTTGGGGTTTTTTCTATGAAACTGGAAGTAATTGAAAAGTATGAAAGTATATGAAATATTGAAAATGATTAGAATGTGTAGATCCGATATAGGTATGTCTCTAAACATTATGCTGGAAATATAGCCATGTCTGATGTCTTAACTATACCAACTGTAGATGTATTATCGGAAGTTTGCTTTCGTACATTTCGGTTCAGGGATTACTATCTACAATTGGGTTTCAATCGTTTTCAGCAAGAATTATTTGTGCTTGATGATAGTTTGGAGTGCCTAACATCTATTTTTATTTTTCGAGAGCAAAGATGAATTATGAAGTATTGCAAATATACCACTTGAGCTACAGATATTAATAACCTGATAACTATACCGTTTGGCATTATCGATGAGAAGTCCACCTGACAGATGCATCTGGCTTTCCGATGATTCGCTGATAACGACAAAGTAGTTCAAAGTTCGAATGAGATGAAATCAGGAGCAAAATGATATAGTTATTTGGATATACCTTAACTGCTATTCGAATATGAAGATATACAGTTACAAAAAAAGTAACCTATCTTTGAAAAAAAAAGTAGGCCGATTTCAATTTTTTTTACATTTGTTGGTAGGTACTGCATTTGTCTTTGAAAAAAATGAAGAGGTGAGAATTTTTTCAAAGTCTCCTCGATGGTGGTGGAATAACTCGAACCATAATTTATCCTTAATTTTTGACTCACCCTGTCTGTTGATTGAGTAATGGTATACAGAGTGCTTACACCCTATACGAAAGAGGCTTCTTTTGCGAGCATTTTGTTCTTTCATTCATTGATTTATCTCTAAAATTTCCGAATTACAGCTTTTTTTGCTGAATCCTTGCAGATTACCAACTTTCAGGATTTATCGAGAAACAATTTTCTAATGAAATAAACTGATACCAATAATTTTGAAGCACATTTTTTTTTAACACTAAATTATGGATTGGAATGACTGCTTACCATGTATTGCCATGTATTGCCTCCTCTAGCAACTCTAAGAACTTCTAATCTACGAGGCATACTGGAAATGAAGTTGCTTATCGTTTCTATTGGTATACGATCATATTCTTTCACTAATGCATCTGCCATTTCTGCGAGACTTTCCGGAGACCTCTCGCGAGAACGTACCCTCCTCCCTAATTCATCCCACGAATGTTCTATAGGAATTATATCGGTGCTTCTCGGAGGCCATTGTAATGTGATAATACTAGTAACTTCTGAGAAGTTCTGCATTGCTGCGGTGTGTGGTCGGGCGTTATCCTGTATCAATATAGAACTATTGCCCACTAACTGTTGTATGAGTTGAGACATACTGCTCTGAAATGTCGATGTAAATTTGGGCATTCATCGACTGCCTCACCAGAAAAACATGAAAGGGTGTCTTTCCATTCATTGAAATCCCACCCCACACCATAACGGACCCACCATTAAAACTTTCGCATTCTGTTATCAAATTGTGATTGAACCGTTCACCAGTTCTTCTCCACACTCTTTTTCTTCCATTCACCATGTTAAAGGAAAACCTTGACTCATCCGTAAACAAGACATTCGAACATTCAGGAATATTCCACTGTCCATAATTTCCAACAAAATTTCTTCTTGCAGCACGATGTTCGGGCAATAAACTGGGACCTTTTGCAGGTCTCCTAACTTTTGAATCAACTTCTTTTAGTCATCTACATACCGTCTGCTTGCTTACTGCGATATCACGAATTTGGCAAAGATCTTGCTGAACATTTACCGCAGAATTTGATTGATTCCGTAAAATCCGCAATCTCAAGAAGCGATCATCTCTTGGAGAAGTTTTTCGGAGGCGACCAGAACCGACCCTCCGAGCGGTGCTTTCTGTTTGTTCGTACTCACGGATTGCTCTACGAGCAATTGCTTCATGAACTCCCACTGCATAAGCGGCGTAACGTTTACTACGCCCATCGTTTACTAACGCAACTAATCTTGCTACTCGTTCAGGATTCATTTGAGGCATTTTATGTAATTTTAGTCAATAAAACAAGACACATAATTAATGACACAACGACAAATGGTCAAATATGAAGGAATACAACAAATTTGTCGCTATGGCGATGGCATTTGTTTTTTCAAAGACAATGTGATCCTACCAGAGTACAACCCAATCAATTTTGAGTACTCTGATCCTTCAATAAATTTAATTTGTGTGATAAGCGTAAGGTATCAGCAAAAAAGCTGTAATTCGGAAAATTTTAGAGATAAATCGATGAATGAAGGAACAAAATGCTCGCAAAAGAAGCCTCTTTCGTATAGGGTGTAAGCACTTCGTATTTCTTCACTCAATTAACACACAGGGTGAGTCAAAAATTAAGAATAAATCATGGTTCGAGTTATTCCACCACCATCAAGGAGGCTTTGAAAAAAATTCAACTTCTTTATTATTTTTCCAAAGACGAATGCATCACCTACTCATACTTAAAAAAAAAAAATCGGCCCACTATTTTGAATTTTTTTTTTTCAAGAAGATAGGTCAAATATCAGGTGCGTCGCTTTCTTTGGAACTGAGTGTATATCCAAAATATCACAATTATTTTCACTAGCGACAATGAGTATTTCTGATGGAGAATATAGAGTCAGCTGATTTTCATTTCTTTTCCAGTTTCACTAAGGGTTTGCACTGTTTTAAAGAATTATTATTCAGAAAATGAATTCGATGTTATTATTCTTATTTTCTAGGTACAAAACATCCCTGAAGGAACTAGTAGCGCTATCAGTAATGCAGCAGTAGTTGAGTCAGATTCAGGTAAATGATAGATGAGTGTTTTGAGACAAGTAATAGATGATACACGGATCATTGCGCTCATGTGTGTTCAAGATCTATCTATGCAACTTCATATCAATACCATGATATTTCCATTATTCTGCTAGTATACGTTCATCATCATCATCACATTGTGTTTATTTATACCAGAAATGTGTGAGTATACAGGTATATCCATCGAAGAGGCTCACCTCTATATTGACGTTATTTTTCCATCGAAAAAATTTGAACAAATATGGGGGTTGAATGCCGTGATGGAGTCTTCATTCAGTCTTCACCAAAAGTTTCATAGGGTGATCCCTAAAAGCGTAACAAACCACAAATAACACAACAAAACACTCTGTTTTTCTTCTCGGAATCTGTGGATTTCTGTCAAACTCCTGGAGAGGGCTTCGAAAAGGCCTCATAACACAGATGAAAAGGATTTCTTATATGTTTCAATGCGAAGCAGCATTGATTCAACCATATGGCGCTCTTCAATAGGCTCAACCAAATATCTGTTCGATTTTCCTACAGAACTTTCTCGACTTATTCATGAGAGAAAATCTTGTATCAAGCAGAAGTTCCTGCATCATCACAGTACGTATTGGTCGAAAAAGGAATCAATCAGTTCGAAACAAGAAAATTATTTCATTGGCAAGCAAAAGAGAGAACAAGAATCCATAGAGATTATTTCTTTTGGGCAAAATCTTGATGGATCCCTAGATATATTTCCCAGGTGATCAAGAAGATCATTGGCTGCGGAAGATTCTGATTGTTCTGCAAAATAAATCGAAACTTCTGATGGCGATCCCGGCACAACAGCTGATGGAGGAGCTTCTGATGAAGATACAGGTCCAGGAATCTCTTCCAGAGTTTCAGTTTTAGGAGAATCGTCTGATACTATAGTACAGACTATTTGGTGCATGGGTTCAGATATTTGATCGATTCCAAAATCAAATCTCAGCATTTTGTCAAGTTGAATTGTCTAAAATTCATTTCGAAAAGCTCTGCCTTGATTGGTGATTCTATTATGCCTAGGTCTATGTAGACATTATTCCGTTCTAGACCTGATTACTGCTTCGCCAAGTAAAAGAGTGAAAATATATCAACCGATTGGTGTGAAGAACTCATTCTGGTGAAAAATCGATTTATGACCTTTCACTTTTCAGACACTGGTTTTTCACTCGAAACAGCTATATTCTTGACTGAGCAGGTCTCACCCTATACCCACAAAGCTTTTATTATGTTCAAATTTATTGCCTAGGTTGAACATTGTATACTCAGTGGGACGCATCCTTTGCTTGACGGAGGAATCAATTATTTGTATACGCAATCATCCAGAGCATATTAATGTGAATTTTATGAGAATAATGTTAGTTCCAGAGGAGACTTTGAGAGTCACGAAAATATGCAACAAATTGGTGTGTTGAAGTGATGAAAATATTAAGGAGGAATATAACAAAGAATAAAGCGCACATTATCAATCACTCCATTTCATTAGGAGAAAGTCTATTTTTATATTCTTGCTACCTAAAAATTTTATTAACAATTTTGTTTTCAGGCCAATCCCTTGAAGGTTCCTTAGATATTTCTACCGGTTCATCAGAGACCTCAACCACTGCTGAAGATCCTAACTGTATTGAAGAAGATATTGAAACTTCTGATGGTGATTCTGACACAACACCTGAACTGGAACCTTCTGGTCACGTTGCAGGAGGTGCAGATGTATCTATCGGGGTTTCAGAATCAGGAGCATTATCTGAGACTAGTAGTCCAGGCTCATCATTTGATGGGTCTGGATCTCTGATTGGTTCAAGTGGAGATGATAGTGACAATGTGACAGAATTATCAGAAGAGCCAGTATCAAAGGAAACATCTGTTGTGATTAAAGATTCTTCCGGAGAAACTACCGAAAGTAGTAGTTCGCTATCTTCACCTGGAGACGATAGTGGAAATGCGATAGGATCAGTCTCAGGGGGCACATCAAACAGTGGTAGTGAAATCACTGGTGACTCCGGATTATCCGGAGGCGACTCTCCAAATATTGATGGTTTTATTGGAACTGCTGATGGTTCATCTGATATCAGTGATATTCGGGAAGGCATAACAAGTGATACTGGAGGAAGCATCACACGTGATGCTGAAGGTAGCATAACAGGTAATGCTGGAGGCAGCATAACAGGTGATGCTGGAGGAAGCATAACAGGTAATGCTGGAGGAAGCATAACAGGTAATGCTGGAGGAAGCATAACAGGTAATGCTGGAGGAAGCATAACAGGTAATACTGGAGAGAGTATAAACGGAGATATTGGTGGTGGTGATGGTGGAAGTAGCCCAACAAATCTGGATTTGGAAGGATTAATCGAGAGTATCATTGAGAGTCCAATTGGGACAAGTGAAGCTGATGGTTCAAATGGATCAACCGGAAACTCTGGTAGTGGAATCTGGAACATTCTGACTGGAAATGCTGGTGGGACTATCACAGGACAATCTGCTGTTGGTAGCAATAGCTCCAGTAGCACAGCACTCCAAGATATTGTTAGCGAAATTGGACGCATCATTGCCAGTTACAGTGGTACAGGTTTTAGTAATTTAACGAATGAAAATATACCGATCATCATTGATAGTATCATCAAAGGTTTTCTTGAAGGATCTTTAGATTTTGGAGGTGGAATCACTGGTGATGGAAGTGCTAACACTTCGCTTGAAGTGAATTCAGTATCGGATCTGATCACAATTCTTCAAAAATACGACCTCATAACATTCCTGAGGAAAATAGCACAATATCTAGGACAATGGCAGATCACTATAAATGACACCAAATATGGGATTCTGAACATGATGACAATGCCGCAGGAGAAACTCTATGGACTTATCCAGTATCGTACGTATCTATTCATTTAGACAATGAAGGCTATATAAGATGATTTTGATTATGTGTATAACATAAGTTACGAATATGCTCATAATCTTAGATTTCATGAGTCTTCTATTCAATGAAGATACAGATGATACGTGTGCCATTTGAGACAACTGAAATTATCAAAATACCTTTACGACCTTCTTCTTTGAGAAGGTATTTCGAGTAATGAAACCTGAAAGTAATGTAACTCCTCTCCCTACCTCAAAATCTCCGAATAGGTTTTATTTTAACATTTCAATCATCAATTTCAATGATATTTCATGAATTTCAGTGATATTTCAAATTAAATACTTCATCGACTCCATTATCCAATCAATTTTGGGCCATAATATTATAAGCGACACGATAATGGGATTCGGGAACAAGACCTTGGACTGCGTCGTGAGTTCTGCAGTAGATCTTCCGGCCGTGGTTGGAAACGAGTTGGTGGAATGCGTAACAGGTAGAGTCAATGAAGTCATCCAGTTGGTATCCGATGCTGCTTTAGAGATCAGAAGTTCTCTCATCCTGCTGAGGCATGTCGTCGACAGTATCGTGGGTGAGAATATACAATATGTCCTCTAAAATTGTTTTGTTGTTCTAAAATTGTTCTATCCGTCATTCGGTTGCCCCCTTACGAGCAACCCTCAGAAGTCTTCGAAAGACTTGTGCGAGCAAGGAATGACGGGGGCCTTACCTTTTAACGTGTGATCCCAAACACTTTCTTAGGCCATCAGAAAAAGTCTGCGTTCGTGGGTCTCGAACCCACGATCGATACCTCGACGTGAATCGATATTGAAGCATCGAAGCACTGAGGTACGCCGGCCTATAGCGCACAGTGAACCATATCATGTCAGCAAGTCGAAATTTGAGATAAAAACGGTCTGAAACTCACAACCAAATTCGATAATTGAATTGAACATTTCATAAATGACCGAGCGTAAAGTAGTACAATACCGCTCGGTTTTCTTGCGGCACTATACCGCTCGCGATTTGTGATGATCTATTCCCTATTATTACAGATTTTTCGATATTCCTGAGATTATATAATCGACCCCATGATGAGATATTTGTGATGACATTAGTTGACAGCAAATATAAAAGTCTACTCCGATATGGAAATTTTACTATTCCTCACTTCAGTCATGATGTATTTTCATCGTTCCTGAGTGGGGAAAAGGTATTCGCACAATGAAATATCAAATATACCAGTAGTGCATGAAATTTTGTATGTATCCTCGGGCGTTATTTGCTATTATGGACCTAGGTGTGTTAAACGCTGCAGTCCATAAAAGCCCACTTGACGCTCTTGATACATGAATGAATATTTTCGATAGGTGTCATATACTGATTTTTGATATGTGACAAATAGGGCTCGAATAGGTGATAAAAACCTACTTTTTCATGAAAAACGACAGCTTACAGTTTAACGAAGTCAACTGAGCGCCATTTCGAATTATTATCCTTTAAGTTCGAGTTTTATCTAACACACTCAACTTCTGAATTCAATTGTTTCCTAGAAAGAATCGATTGGAAAGTGACAATTCGGTCATTTCGATTTTGAACAGCCTCCAGTAAAGTTTGCTTTGCGAAAAATCAAGCTGACACCGCTACAACGATTTTTTCTGAAGCAAACTTGATTGGTAGCAATATTAGAGGTTTTGGTTGGGTTCTGAATGAACAAAATCAATGAAGGTGTTAGAAATCATGAGAAGATTCATGAAGGATATGGTTCCTTAGTATATTTTGAGAAGAACAGTTCATATGATCATATGCCCAAAGCCCCTCAACTCTCGACCTATAGGGTGTTGATATTTCGAGAAGAATATCACAATGTTTTATCGGGATCAAATGTAACACTTTGCTTGACAAGCGATATTTGCGTTCGCGAGGCGGAGCACACAAATTCAGCGAGTCAAACAGAGTCACTTCTGATCCTAATGAAACATGCTTTTTTTCCTGAAATGGAAAGAATCGATATCTAATTAATTAAATAATGAGTGAAGGTATCACTATTTTGACTCACTTGAGCATGTCAGTGTCAAAGCAGCTATCATACCATCTTTCATCCGGAACACTTTTGGTTCCTATTAGTTAAACATCAAATTTAGTTCCTTGACACTCAAAGTGTTGTCTAGCAACAAACATACTGATCATTCTATTGTGTCAAAGGAAGGAACGTCAACTTCAAGAGCTTATTTTGGAACAAAAATAGAAGGCTTTTGAGCCGATTGCAGAAAAAATAAGTTTCATTATCATAACCTCAATAATGTTATAGATATCATCATGAAACTTTGCATGCACCTACCAAGCACCAATAGGCATTTTTTGATGCAGAAGATTTTCCAATGTTCACACCAGTGACATTCGTAAGGGAGATATAGAGATTTTTCTCAAAAAATATTCTACGCCCTCGCCATTTGACAATGAAAATCATTCATTCTGCAACAATTTGACCTCTTTATTGTCTTCCGTCTAACAAACCGTTCTCGCGTTGAAACATTTTTATCCAGTTGTGGCATAACGAAATTATTTTGGACTAGTCGGCTAATGCCCTATTTTGTATTGAAAATAATGACATTTGATCAATTACGTTGCGACCTCATTTATAATCAGACAGTTTCTTAGATTGTGGAAGTTCATTTATCAATCAATTCTAACACCGTATAGCTCGAAAGTCAAGTGATTCAGTGCTTATGGTTATATGAAATTTTCTCCTCGAAATTAGCTGAGAAGTTATTTCCAGAATTTCCAGCTTTCAATGAAATCACACCCTATATGAAACCATTTTTCCATATCCATAATTTATCTGAGGATATTCCTTTTCAAGAAATTATATAATTTTGAATAATTACTGAAAATAATCCTGGTGGCGATGAATAAAAATTCTCGCATGTTTATTCAGAATATCTTCAATTTGCTTGTCAAATTTGCTATTTCATCAGGTTGCTTGCCAAAAATTCGATCGATGACGTCGCAAATTCGCCACTTGTCGTTTATGCTTACATTGTGACGTGTAACGCATATGCCTTTATTCTCTTTAAGTCTAGTCAGGTTCCCCCATTTTGTAGGGTTACTGATGTGCACATTGTAGTAATCTTTCGAGTAGCTTATGTTAGGTTCTCCTCTGCTCTATCAGAAATAAAACCCTCATTTCAACATTAATTATTATTAGGATGTAACCAAACTTCTTTCACTCCCACGTAAGCATTCTCTTTTTAATGATACATCTCTTGCATTTTTCCACGTTCTTCCTATAGGACACAATTATGTACCGGTATTCGATAAGGCTGATGGACATATACAGTGTGTGACTTAGTCCTGGAGGAAACACCCCTGTATCTTACGTAATCGTAAAGATCCAGAAATTTGCTGGAGCGAGAGATATACCAAAAATGCTCTCTATGACCAAGTGGTGTCATCTTCTGTGATATAGACTGCTCGCCAACAGCCATGGAACCACCCCAATTTCCGGAAAATGATATTAGGAGTCAAAATAGGTCGAGAATCATTTCAGATTCGGAATCAGGAAGCGCAATTCACTAACTATTCATATTCTTCCTGGAAAATTTTCTGTTCTGAAGAATTGAATTTTGTCGCACTTTTTACGGAAGCACCCCCGTATCTTACGTAATTGACTTTATCTTTGGACTTTCCCTTCCTCCTGCAAATTTCAGAACCCTACCTCAATGATTACGTGAGATGCAGGGGTGCGCTTCCATGAGAAGTAAGACAAAATGTAATTTTTCCGAAGTGAAAATTTTCTAGAAAAACTATGAATTGTTGGTGAATTTGACGTCCTGATTCCGAATTCGAAGTGATTTTTGAACTATTTTGCCTCCATATATCATTTTTCGGAAATCGGGGTGGTTCCATGGCTGTTAGCGAGTAGTGTATATCACTGAAGATAACCCCACTTGGTCATAGAGTGCATATTTGGTATATCTCTCGCTCTAGCAGATTTCAGGATCCTTACCCAACGAGTATGTGAGATACCTACATGGGTGTTCCCATTATAAGTGGGTCCCACTGCATATGTTCGAAACTTGAACCAATTGATCTGATCGTTTGATCATATTAAAATGTCGGAGAGGATTTCCCGATTCCGAGTATAATTTTTTCAGTAGTCGATATATAATCATCATTGTTTTTAATGGAAAATAATTATTTCGGAGAACTCTATACGAATACTTCAAGAAGTATCAACCGTGACCATATCTGCTACAACTTCCAGAGTCTCGATTCTGGAAGAATACAATATGAATAATATTCTCATACATAAACTCTGTGATATCGAATCAATATAGGAAGGCGTCAAATGATCCTCAATGAAAACGTGCTATGAATTCTTGAACAAAAATTATCCGTACTCTACAGTACTTATTTGTAATTCTCATAACTCAATGAGCAATCATAGCTGGCCAAGATTACAAATCATATTAGAATCGATGAATAAATTCATGGATGCATATACGTATCAATGTATAGAAGAATATGGTCGCATAAGCAAACGAACGAATGCACGAAAGAATCGCCTAAAAAACGAACGGATAATAAACAAACGAACAAAAATTTTGTGAATGTATTGATGAATGATATGATTGATGAAAGTTGTTATGAACTATAATTTAAGTCATGAATATCTTGTCATGATAACATCAATTGAACATAATTCAAACGCAATTTCCAGGTTGTCCAGGATCTTTCTGCATGGGCCAATCGACAGCCACAGCATTGTTTGATGGAACCAATTTGATAGTCAATATCATTGGAACCATCATACACTTTGCATCATTCGCATCGACCCTAGCTGTACAATTACCAGGATGTTTTGTTGGTTCTGTTACCATAACACCTGGCCAAGAAATTGCTTCAACGCTTGGACGGTTTGGAATGTGCATGATTTCTTGATGTGAAAAAGTTTGGGAATACCACAGTCCCTTGAGGAAATTGAAATAAACTATTTACTCTAGCCTTGGATTGTCTCAATCTGATATACAGAGTATCACGAACTTACATAGGAAGATTTCAACCACAGATTATAAGAACAAAAATAGTCAAAATAGTTTATAAACATGGGTCCAGAAATGACCTCCTGGAGGGTTGGAGCGATCTAAAGGGGAGCCATATACAGAAAATTCGAGGTTGATATTTCAATGACGCATTTATGTGTCCTCAAATGCACCCACTTCGATCATTAGCCACTGTTTTGTTTTTATTTTTTTTATCGCTCGGAGCGCACAAAAGGGAATCCCTATAATGTTCAAAGAACATCGTGCGTTCCTAGGGAGGATAGGGACAGGAGGTAGGTATTGGAATTTTGTTTGAACTTTTGGAGATTATATGTTGTTGGGAATACTTCCACAGGCAATGAATTCCAGAGCCTAGCCGTTCTATGGATGAAGGAGTCTTGATAAAGTGCTGTTCGACATCTTTCGAGGTTGACAACGAAAGGATGTGCTGACTGGGCTTGTCTAGTTCGTCTGATTGGTATTGCTAGTGAAGGGATGATAGCAGAGATTTCCGAAGAACATTTCCCGTGAAAGTATCGATAGAAAAGTGAAAGGTCGCCAACCTTTCTACGGTGTTTCAATGATGTCAAAGAGTGAGTGAGTGTGGCGTCACCCACCAGGCGAATGGCTCTTCTCTGGATGGATGGAGCTAATTTGGGTAAAAAAAGAGCATCTGAAATTGTGGTCATAATAACGGATCAAATGGTTTGAAAATTGGTATGCTCTTGTTTTTTGGAGACACTCCTCTTTTGTTTCGTTCTGCTTCGAAAATAACGAAATTCTGGAGAATTTTGGAAGTTGGGATTCACCCTCAGAGGGAGTTCATTTTAGGTCACATGTGTGTATGCAGAAAAAGTCTATACTGATCCCAACAATAAGTCCTTGAAACATTCACATCGAATTCTGAATCACCCTGTTTATGATGGTTTCATGTAAATATTTTCTAAGCCCTCTGAGATGGAATTGGTACATGTACCTCACTTTTTATGCTTGATTTGACCGTAATTTTGATCAGGGGCACCTTATAAATTTTTGTTTATGCAATTTCATGCTTGATTCAAAATATGGGGATACGTATTTGAAATCGATTTATCTTGAAAATGGTGAGTGTTATCGAAACTGTAACATTTTTGAGTGAGAAAGATGAAATTCTCATATTTCCTGCTCAAAATTATATATTGACATGAAACACGAACAAATTCTGGTAATTCGATCACAGAGGATTTCGAAAATATTCAAGAAAAACCGTTATCTCGAGCTCCCCTTCAAATGGCTATAGCTCCCAAGGGGGTCATTATTTTCATTCTTGGAAACAGTGGTTGAAATATGTTGATGTCATTTCGGGACACCCTGTATACAATTCCGAAACGACCTGAAAGATCCTTATGAAGATAATAGTGCATATTTGGTGAGTTCGTGGATTGGTCGTGAATTATTTTTCAAATTGAAAATTCAAGATGGCGAATCCAATATGGCGAACAAGTTTTGTAATTAGGATCCGCTTCTATTCAAAATTGGTGTTTGGAGGTTATCGCAGCCCGAGATGATGAATCGTTCGTCAAAATTTGAAAATATGAGATGGCAAATTCAATATGACAGGTGAGTTTTATTATTTGGATCCGATTCCATTCAACATTGCAATCTGGGAGTTTTCGCGATGAAATATTATAATGCCTTCATCAAAATTAGAATGTTCTAGATGGCGGATCCAATATGTCGAAAGAGTTTTGTAATTAGGATCTTATTCTATTTGAAATTGTTATCCGGGGATTTTCGGGATACTGGAGGTTATGATTCGATCGTCGAATTTTGGAAACTAGAGATGGCAGATCCAATATGGCGAACGATTTCTGTAATTATGATTCGATGTCTTTCGAAATTGGTGTCTGGGATTTCTTTCTCGAGGTCTGAGAATATGATTCTGTCGTCGAATTTTGGAAATTCAACATAACGCAATCAATATGGCAGACAGGTTTGTATTTATGATCCAATTCTATTCAAAATTTGTATCTGCGAGTTTTCGGGGTCGAGGATTATGATTATTTCGTTCGAATCGGAAAATTGAAGATGGTGGAATTGAATGGCGAACACGGTTTCTGATTATGATCCGATTCTATTCAACATTGGTGTCTAGGGGATTGTCTGGTCGGAGATTATGATATTTATGTTGAAAATGGTAAATTTCGCAATGGCGTATTCAATATGACGAACTAGCTTCGTAATAAATAGTCGTTTGAACAACTAATTGAACATGCTTTTGTATATCGTCAAACAAGAAGAAAGTAGATAATAAGAAGTCGTCTGGTAAACTCAGGAAATACGCCATTAGGGATTGACAAACCATAAAAGGAGTAAAAAAGGGAATGATAAAATGAATAAAAATCAAAAAAAAATTTCTCTTGAAAATTAATAATGTATATAGCAAAACAACGTATGCCATGTCAGCTAGTATCCTATATTAAAGTAGCTGCGGATAAAAAACATGGTGTTCCTGATTTGTCTGTACAAACCAATATCATAGACTCCTGGGACCAGATAAGTAATATAATGGGCTTATATCACAAAAAAAAATATTTCATAATTCGATAGAACTCACCCAAGCTAGTTAACTACCGCAAACCGTTTCTTGCTGTGAGCTCTCTACGTTTTATAAAGAAATATTGAAATCCTTGAATTTTCAGACCTCTGAAAACGAGGCGATGATGTGACGTCAAAACCCTAATACTGAAACAAGACTATTCCAGACAGAGATGAATGATACATGATTTCTGACAGAGTGAATTAGCGCGAGATCACAGTTGAAACAATTAATATATCAGTTGACTCAGTCTCCGTCGGGCGTTTGGTATTTTCTTTTAACTATGTCGAGATGAGGTTTCTACGTCATAAGAGGGTCCGTTTTCAGAAGGTACTATTATTTATGTCCAAAAATAAAATATTTCAGTTAATTTTTCGATCGAATTATGTTGTCAATCATTATTTATGTATAACAGGATCATTATTAGCATGATGGTTTGAGTTGAAAGTTCTACTAAGGTCGTGGAGCAATGTGTGTCACAAATTGATTATCATCGATATGATGGATGATAATATACGAAACTTAAGTACTAACCTCCAATAATTGAACATTATCATAGAGTGGTATGGACAAAATTGACCTTGGTCGATAAATTTGCAAACCAATAGAAGTATAACAAACTCTCAGGAGAGTCGGGAATGAGATATTGAATAAGAGAATAAAAAACAATGTTGGGATCTGTTCAGTGGCGTACTCAGAAGGAGTTCCATAACATTTTTGATTAATAGTATAGGTACTTCAAATATGTATCATTTTCGTGTCAATCAAAATGGTTCGAGATGTGTTTTGAACAATATCGATATAAACGAAGACATACAAAACATTACATTGAATTCCGACGCCCAACAGCAGAGCGTTTTGGTATAGATGTAGGTTTGGTTCAATAATCACACATTGGCAGGAGACCATGGTATTATTTTGAACAGACCTTCCAGGGATACCCTGTTCAGAAGCTGAACAATAAGAAGCCGAATCATTTAGATCAGATTCCCATATTTTGATCACATTTGTCGGGATACTCTTAGATGATGATATGCATCATGTTGACAGAGATAACTGATGATAACAAGAGATGAATAGGTATACTGTTTTCGTGATCCCAAACTGTTCCATAACAACACGATTTCGAGATTTTTTTATAGAATCACGAGCGGGGTACGTGGTTTGGTTTTTGCTCGGAATCAAAATGTGATCTCCCAGCGAAAATACGAAAAGTCTTGATCGACGAACGGCCGATACGCGAATAACGGATTCGGTTGTTATAATCCTCGGTTGCACTTCGGATTCCAATGATCAACATCATTCATTATTTGCTAGTTATTTGCTTCATAACGTTGATAACAATTTGAAATGCATGGCATATATCCGTACTCTGCATGCTCAAAAGGGTCTGGAGTCAAATCAATGGGCGAGTGGACTGATGAATTATTGGCATTCAATTACTCCACTGTGTATTTAGGAACCCAAATCAATTTTTGCAACATTTCTCACGCTTTTTTATGTGAATTATAATTCTATACGTTGTTCAAAATCGTTGAATTTCAGAGGTAATTTCAAACGTACCGTCATTGGTAATACGTCGAATGAATGGTAACGTCAGTTTTTATGCTGTTTCGTTATTCGTAAGATAATTTTCCATTTTCACGCATGAAGCGAAGTTGTCAAGTCACCAAATAAAATAAAGATATCAAAGAGATGTTGGAGTCCTATCGTTGAATACGACATAATAGGAGGAACTCATGACATTATATAGTTCATTCTTGACTTTTTCGAACGACCAGCATGTCCAAATATTTCTCATTCTCCATCACAAAATATCATGTGAATGTTGGAAACATGGCAACATTGTGCTGAACGCTGAGAACTGACAAGTCCACGCCCACAAGTCTTGCGCGGGGTTGTCCCGTTCACCGATTCAAATGTCCTCTAGTGTGAATTAATATAATTATCATTTACATAGATTTATTATAAGCAATAAGCCACAGATCATGAGGGAACATTTTGTGAAAATTGAATTTTCATTGCTAATTAGGAATAATACTAACACTCAATTGAGAATTTATGAATCATGAAATAACTGATACTTCTGAAGTTCCCAATCGTGTTTCAACACATGCATGGTAACTTTGCTATAGTCTTCCCAACTTATGAAATCGTTGGGTCCGTTTTTACCGCCGGTAAATTTCTAGCCGTTTGAAAATAACCGTGGCAATATTGATGATTTTAACACCTAAAAATCCATAGAAAGAGTCTTGAGAATAGTGAAATTGGAAGGAATTTGAGTGATGATTCTTTTTGAGAAATAAAAAAAATTGTCCACTTGCCTATTGGTGGAATGAACCAGATATAAATTCTAGAAGTCCCTACTTGTTCAAA